GACACCCGATTTAAAGTTTAATTTCCCATATGACAATAGTGGAAAATATAAACGTAAATTTCAAATTAAATGGCTTGAAACTTTCAAATGGTTAGCATATTCAAAATTAAGAGAGGGTTTATTTTGTAAATTCTGTGTACTGTTCTTAAATTTAAATCAGGTTGGTAAGGGATCACATGAGAAGTTAGGTAAACTTGTTTTAAAACCCTTGACAAAGTTAAAAGACGCATTGGAAGACTTTAAAAATCACGAAAAAAATGATTACCATAAAAATTCGTTACTTACTGCTGACAACATAAAAGCAATTTTAGAAAAAAAACAAGATAATATATTAGTACAATTAAATAGTAAACGAAAAGATGAAGTTATAAAAAATCGCGCAAAACTTAAGCCAATTATTCAAACAATTCGATTATGTGGTAGACAGCAAATAGCGTTACGGAGGCACGAAGATTCTGGTAGAATTTCTTTAGAAGAACCAAAAAATAACGATGGCAATTTTCGTTGTTTGCTTCGATATCGCTCGAAAAATGGTGACAACGTGTTAAAAGAACATTTGGAAACTAGTGGTTGTAAATCTATGTATACAAGTCCACTTATACAAAACGAAATAATAAATTTGTTTGGTGATTTAATTCAGTCAAAAATTCTTGAAAGAGTTTTAAAAACTAATTTTTATACAATACTTGCAGACGAAACGACTGATATTTCTCAAATTGAACAGTTCTCATTATGTATTCGTTATGTTGACGAGCAGGTTTTTTCAATTCGAGAAGATTTTCTTACATTCGTTCCGGTATATGATATATCTGGTGAAGGTTTGGCTAACACGATTAAAGAAACATTAAAAAAAATTGGTTTTGATTTGAATAAAATGCGAGGTCAGGGTTACGACGGGGCTGCAGCAATGCGTGGTCGTTTTAGAGGTGTTCAAGCAATTATTAAAGATATGTACCCAAAAGCATTATACACACATTGTGTATCACACTCACTAAATCTTTGTTTATCGGATGCTACAAAATCTCAAGATATTCGAAATGCTTTTGGTATAATAAGTGAATGCTGTTCTTTTTTTAACAGTTCGGTAAAACGAACTACAGTCCTCAAAAATAAAATAAAAGAAATTAAACCAAATTCACAATCTACAAAATTGAAATCTTTATGTGAAACTCGCTGGGTGTTACGCCATGAAGCAGTTATGCTTTTTAAAGAATTTGTAGAGCCCGTTGTAGCTGCATTAGAAGAAGTGCAAAGTGAATGTTCTGGGACCGATTCTTCAAAAAGAGCTAATAGCCTTTTACATTGTATTTGTAACTTTAATTTTTTAATATCTATTTGTGTGTCCAGTAAACTATTAAGTTATACTTATAATTTATCGAAATATTTACAAAGCAAAAATATTGATTTATTTAATGCTCTTAATCAAGTTTCCGGTGTAATTTCTGTGTTTCAATCCATAAGAGAAAACGTTGATTTAAAATTTAACAATATTTATAAAGAAGCCAAAGATGTTGCTGAAAAGTTAAATATTGAACCAAAAATGCCTCGTATTTGTAGCAGTCAAAGAAATAGAAGCAATGTACTATCTAACAACATTGAAGAATATTACAAAAAATCTATTTTTATACTGTACTTGGACGATTTGATGATGGCATTAAATGAAAGATTTATACTTCACAATGAAACTATAACTTCATTACAATATGTCTTACCAAGTATTGTTGTTGAAAAACCATTTTCTTATTTAAAAAAAGCTGTTGAATTTTATGAAAATGATTTACCGGGGCTAAACGACGTTATAGAAGCAGAGTACGAAATTTGGCAAGCTAAGTGGAAGAATATTGAAGACAACTTAAGGCCCAAAACTGCTATAGAGGCTTTGAGTGTCTGTGATAATTTAATGTATCCAAACATGTATGAATTACTAAAAATTCTAGCTATAATACCAGTATCCACCGCTACAGCTGAGCGCAGCTTTTCAACGTTGAGAAGACTCAAAACGTATTCAAGAAATACAACTTCAGAATCCAGACTAGTGGGACTTGCCCTTTTAGCTATTCACAGAGACATTGACATACCAGATAACATTTTATTAGATAAATTTGCTAACAGTGGCAAAGAAAGAAATTTAAATTTGATTTAATTTGTTATATTAATATTGTATTATTATTATTATTATATATTATTTCATTATTAATTTTTTGAAAACATTAAAAATCATGACAAAAAATTAAAATTGTGTACTAATTTTCTAACTCTTATTTTTAATAGGCTAAATTAGGGAATTTCAGTTGGAGAAAATACCACAGCCCCCCCCCCAAAATTATATCTAAATACGCCCCTGGTATATGGTAATCGATTAAAAGTATACATGTATTTTGAATTAATTATAAATTATAGTAAAAAATCCGTTGTTTTAGTTTGTATAAAAATCAAATCATATTTTTTTATTTTATAGTTTTTAAAAATAATTTTTTGAATTTATATCATTCGTATCAATTTAATTAATAAAGATAATAAAGATAATAAAGATAGTTGTTCAGTTCGTGTCCCGCTATCGTACAAGCAGCACGTGTGTTACCTTTGTGTCCGTTATCGCTTTATAGCTGTCGTTAGCACGTTATATAATATCAAGATCGACACTTATCACAGGTAATATGTAATTTAATATACACATATACCTATATCTTACTAAATAATAGAACAAACCAATTAAATTACCGCCGTAGTGCGGTGATTTAACTCCAATTCAACCCAACATAAAATGTCTACACTAAACCAGACCAAACACCAAACATCTAAATCAAACATGCCACCTTCTTCACCAAAACAATTAACTGAAAATCTCGTTCCTGACACCCCAAAAAACATGGAAAACAATTTAACACATCAAAATATTGTAACCAAAAATAAAACCTTCGCAGAAACACTAAATCCAAATCCGTTTCCAATAAAAGATCAGGCTATTATATTTGACATAGAAAACGAAGAAATACAATTAAAAGATTATATTATTGAAATAGGAAAAATAATCAAACCAGAAAACATTATTTTCGTGTCCAAAATATCAAAAAAACGAATGTGTATCTTCTTATCGACAAAAGACCTAACTAATAAATTAATTCAAGACAACGAAAATATAGTAGTGCAAGGTCAAAATATTAAATTAAGAAAGCTATACAATCCGGACAAAAGAATTATCCTTGCAAATGTATACCCCAATATACCACATGAAACAATAATAGAAGCACTTAAAGAAAACAACATAACACCCACCAGTCCTATATCATTTTTACGCGCAGGTCTTCACATTGAAGGTCTTACACACATACTCAGTTTTAGACGTCAAATGTATATATCACCTGATGACGAAAACAAAATGCCTAGCTCCATACTGATCAATTTCGAAAACGCAAACTATCGGATATTTCTTTCTAATGACGAATTAACCTGTTTTCTTTGCAAAAAAATCGGACATACTTCAAACAATTGTCCCAAAGCAGATGAACTTAAACCCACTGAGACAATTAATATTAGCCCTGTGTCAAATACCCAAACGCAGTTAAAATTAGACGAACCTAAAACACCTGTACATCCAGATTCGGAAATTTGATTTTTACGAACCAATGGACCACTCTCAAACCGACAATAAAGACCAACCAATTGAAACAGAACCACCTCCAAATACCAAAAGATCAGCTTCAACACAATCGCCCACATTGTTGGCTTCAACAATACTAAACAAGGTGACTCCATCACCAAACCAAATCAAAACACATAAAACCAACCCTAAAAAAAAACAAAATTAACTCCCGCGACTGAAAATTTCATAGAAAACATTGATACACATTTATTACCAATTATAAGTTTTGTTGACAATAATAAGGAATTACCAATCAATTACATACAGTTCAGAGATATAATCGAAAAAATACAATGTGACCCAGATCCAGAACTTATACTCGAACAGTATAACATTTCTATAAAAGCTATGATAGATATAATTGAAAAAGTCAGACCTAAACTTCAATCAAATAGTAGTAAAATACGTTTTACGCGTCTGCATAACGAATTATTCAAAATATATCTAGACAAACAGTTAAATTCAGACACATAAAAATAAAACAAACCACTTTCCTACCGCATTAGTTAAAAAAAAAAAAAAAAAAAACAAAACCAAAAAATGAATAGTAAAAATACAATTAATACAATTTCAACAAACAACTCAAATATTAATTTCCTCCAATGGAATGTAAATGGTTTCTTCAATAGACTCAACGAAATCAAAATTTTAATCAACACACAAGACCCCAATATTATTTGCTTACAAGAAACCAACTTTACACACAAGTCATTGCCCAACATTAAAGGTTTCCAAGTTTTCACCAAAAATAGAATTAGCTGCAGCAGGGCCAGTGGAGGAGTTGCCATTTTTACGGACACTTCGTACCCAGCACAAGAAATACCAATAATATCCCATCTGGAAGTAATTGCAATCAGATTAAAAGCCAAAGAAAACTTAACAATATGTAACATCTATTTACCTAACCTCACTAATTTCAACCTAAATGATATTCAAGATATAATAAATCAACTTCCAACACCTTTTTTTTTACTTGGTGACTTTAATAGCCATAACAGTCTGTGGGGTTCTCAACACACTGACGACAGAGGTCGTATCATTTAAACAATTCTGGATAACCCTAATATTATGTTATTAAATGATGGAAATGACACACACTTTACAACAGCTTCAGGCAATACATCTTCAATCGACCTAACTCTATCGTCTACCTCAATAGGTTGCAATTCCGAATGGAAAGTAATACCAGCAACATATAGTAGTGACCACTGGCCCATCATTATTAACATTAAGTATCGTAATAACGTGGAACTCTACGAACTCCCCCTTAAATGGAATCTAAAAAACCCAAATTGGGAATTGTATACACAATTAACCAACTATGAATTAGATAAATTGTTTATACCAGAAAATGAAGATGCCGAAGTAACTTTTGCAACCCTCGAAAATATTATTTTAACCTCAGCCTCCAAATCAATAGGAATTACACGATACAAAGGAAAAAAACCCTCGGTCACCTGGTGGAACAAAGCTTGTGATATATCTATTAGGAACAAAAAAAAAAGCCTATAACAAATACCAAAAAAACCAAAAATATATTCAACTTAATTGATTTTAAAAGACTCAGAGCTATAGCCAAACGAACCATTATTGATAGCAAAAAACTAGCTTGGCAGCACTTTACTAAAACATTAACAACCTCTACTCCCCCATCCGAAGTTTGGGGAAAAATTAAAGCAATGAAAAATATACCAGTACACAAAAACATCAAATTTTTACAAACTAATACCCTAAACTTAACGGCATCTATAGACATAGCAAATGAACTTGGTCGTAAGTTTGAAGAAAATAGCAATAACTCATCACTAGACCCACTTTTCCTAGTACACAAAAAAAGATAATGAGGATTACAATATATTTAAAACACCGCAAGCGTTCTCACTCATAGATGAAGACCTAAGAGCATTAAATGATGAAATTACTATTAGCGAAATAATGTTAAGCCTCAATAAATCCAAAAGCAAGAGTTGTGGTCCTGACAATATTCCTATAGACTTTATACGACACTTACCTACCCAAGGAATTAACTTAATATTAAAAATATTCAACAAGCTCTATCTGACCAACAAATTCCCTAAACAATGGAAAAAAGCAACAATAATCCCCATCCTAAAATCGTCAAATAATCAACATACCACTGAAGGTTATCGGCCTATATCGCTCCTATGTGCATTAAGTAAATTATTAGAAAGAATAATAAATAACAGACTCAGTTGGTACCTGGAAAAAAAAAACCTACTTGATGAAAAACAATTTGGTTTCCGGAAACAAAGAAGTACCTACGATTGTCTAACCAACATTGAAACTGAAATTCGCGACACATTCGCTACAAAACAAAGTATGATACTTATATGTCTGGACATATGCAAAGCTTATGATACCGTATGGCGGTACAAGGTGCTCACAACTTTATACAACTGGGGGATCCACGGCAACATTCATGCTTATCTACAACATTTCTTATCAGATAGATCATTCATTGTAAAAGTTAACAACACGTTCTCTGAAAAATTCACTCTAGTCAATGGAGTGGTACAAGGCTCCCCCATTAGTGTTACACTTTTCTTAATTGCAATCAACGAAGTCACCAAAATAATAAAACTGCTCACACATATCAACATTTTTGCCGATGACATAAATTTACACTGCAAAGGCAAAAATAATAAATCCATTTTAGAAAACATCCAGCTTAGTGTAAATATCATAAATGATTGGAGCAAAAAAAATGGTTTCAGATTTTCATCAACTAAATCCAAATGCATAGTTTTTTCTAAGAAAACAAAAAAAGCACTTAAACCAGAAATAAAACTCAACAATGTAGTTATTCCCTTAGTCAATAACATCAAAATCCTTGGAATGACCTTCGATAACAAACTGAACTGGAACAAGCACTTTTCAGTCTTAAAAACAAACACTTCCAAAACCACCAACATAATAAAAATACTAGCGAATAACAAATGGGGTGCTCAAAGTAAAATTCTTCACAATGTTTACAAAACACTAAATAGATCTAAAATAGAATACGGTGCTATCATATACGGCAGTGCAAAATCAACAAGTCTAGAAAAACTCGAAACAATTCAAAACAACAATCTACGCCTAATAACAGGTGCATTTAAAAGCAGCCCGATCAAAAGTCTTCTATGCATTACTGGGGAGATATCCCTAGAAAAAAGACGCAAATTACTCGAATTACAATACGCATTCAAAATAGCCTCATATCTAAACAACCCGACATATAATTCCTTATTCAACAAAAGATACAATAATGCATATTATCTACAGACCAACATAAACAAACCAATTGGCAGACGGATTGAAAACTTTTTTAATGCCCATAATATAAACCCAAAACATATAATAAAATCCGAAATTCTGACTAAACCACCTTGGAGACCAAATAATTTTGAAATTGATTTTAGCTTTGCTGTAAACAACAAAGGAAACACCGCCCCCCAGTTATTTAGAAATCTTTTTAAAGAAAAAACACAAAACAGAGATCAGGTATTAGTTTTTACTGACGCATCCAAAACTGAAAACAATATTGCATTCGCAATAATAATCAATGGTTCAGAATACAAATTTAGATTACCTACCCTAAACAGCATTTTCACCGCAGAAGCCTTAACGATCCAAAAAGTAATCCATATAATCAAGGAAATGCCTAACAACACCTTTAACATACTAACTGACTCTCTGAGTACACTTTTAAGTATCCAAAACCCCCAAAAAAATAACGAAATTACCAATAATATTATTAATCTTCTCAACAATACTAATAAACTTATAACACTAACATGGATTCCTAGCCACACCGGAATTGAAGGTAACGAAAGAGCAGACATGATGGCAAAACAAGCAACCAGTGATCAAACCATCGAAATATTGAACTTGCTTTCTAAAAATGATCTTAAAAGAGAAGCCAAAAATATCATATCAAACTTATGGCGTAAGGAATGGCATTTTCTGACGGACAACAAATTAAGAGAGATTAAACCCACCACCGATAGATGGATTAACCCATCAAACATAACTAGACAACAAGAAGTAATTCTAACCCGCTTAAGGATTGGACACTCCTGGCATACCCACAAACACCTCATGGACAAAACAGACTCAGAACCATGCATCACCTGCGGATCCAATATCTCCAACAAACATCTACTTTTAGAATGCCGCCAATTTAATGAAGAAAGAATTAAACACAACATTCCAAGTAGCATTGCCGTATGTCCCAACAATGAACCTCAAAATATCAACAGTACACTAAGTTTTATAAGAGACACCAATTTATACAAAACCATTTAACTTTTATTCTCTGTATTTTTGTTCTTTCGCTTCTAATTCATATTGTTTTGTTACCTACTATATATTTATAATTATTTACTTATAATGTATTAATTAATGTGTAATCATCATTCGCGGCCAATGACCTATGTTGTCGAGGCCTTGTTCTTTATAATAAAAAAAAAAAAAAAAAAAAAGATAGTTGTTGTAAAAATTGTTTTTCCAAGATAACCAAGAATAATCATTATAACATCCGTAGTCATTATACAAAATACATCATAATATCCGATAGAAATCTGTACATACAATAATCTGGTTTATTATAATAAACGGTGTCTACTGTATATTGTATTATAATTTTTAATATACATTTCCCTGCAACTATACCGACATTACAAAGGTGTGGTTTATTATTGCTGATATCTTTTATTATCGATTTTCAGCAATTTTCCGGAACTTCGGCACACCGTTTTGTTTTAAAACTTTAAAAATAAAAATAAATAAATAAGTGTTTCAAAGTTGTTTTGCCATAAGAATATTTATCGTCTTGTTTGACATTGCTGCAGTGGTTTTTGTACATTATTATTTATTAGTGAATTTTTAAACTGAAAACAATTTTAAACGCACACATATTTATGTAGTTTTCGATTCACTATAAATATAGTAAACGAAAGTGTCCCCCTGATTCATAATCAACGCAGAGCCGAATCTATTAAAGTTATTGACATGACATTTTGAGGATAGATTTATGTTATAATTTCACCTTGCACTAAGAAAGGATTATTCAAAATATTGATTTTAAGGAGTTGAAATCGGCAAAAATACATTTTTAAATGAAGAGTATATAACATGCGAGAACTTTTTAGTGTAATATTAATATTTTACCATCTTTCAGATCCTTAAACTTTTTACAATTTTTACAATTTTTTTTCAATTTTACTATAAGTATTAGGACAATTTGCAGACGATATTCAGTGACAATACCATAAATAACAATGTGTGTTACACCATTGAGACATCAATATGCAATATTAACAAACAATCTAATTTAGCGAAAGTCCTAAAAAAATTGAAGCTCATAATTTGGGATAAAAGTCCAATAACTTATAAGAAAGGATTTACTTATTAATTTAAAAAATTAGTAATTTACTAAATTACTTTTCCGACAGGATTAGATACTGATGTAAAAACATTAAAATAACTTAAGTATAGACAAAATATATCCTAGTATAAAAAACCTTAAATAAATAACAATAGACTGGTGATGTGAAAGGACCAATTTGACATAATCAAATGATATAGTAGGAGAAATAAAGAAAATTCTATTTGACTTTTTGCAATCAAAGAATATAGAATACAGATCAATGAATTCTGTACTGCAAGTAGATCATGCAGTTAATTATCCAGTTGAACTCTTCAATTCTCTCAACCATTCTGGATTTCCACAACATTTATTAACGTTAAAAATTGGTACTCTTGATAATCTCCTAAGAAATTTTAGCCCACCAAAATTATGCAATAGAACACGTCTACGTACTATTGGTTTTCAAGAAAATCTGACAGGAGCTAAAATTATGATTGGATCTGAAAAAATTGAATCAGTATTTATTCTTCGCACATTAATGATACCATCAGATTATCCATTCCAATTCATGATTATGCAGTTTCTGGTCGAAGTATATTTTGATATGACAATAAATAAATCATAAGGACAAACATTGAAAATTACAGGGATCTATATAAGTGAAGATTATTTTTGGGCAATTTTATGTGACATGTACCAGAGTTAATACGCCCACAAGTTTAGTTATTTTGGCACCTACAGGAAATATATTAAATGTAGTTTAGAGAGAAGTTTTAAAGTTAAATTGCTGTCATAAGTTATTATTTTGTAATTTATGTATATTAAATTTAATAGCTGTAATAGAATATCAAAAAAAAAAATAATAAACGGCACATGGTTGAAGCGTACATACTCAGATAAAGTAGAGAATTATTTTATTGACATTATTGTATTAATTTTACCCGAAGATGAAAAAGTACAGCCATTTTCTGATTAAATATATAATATATATTAAATACATTAAGTCTGATTGTGACCATCTACTTTCTGCGTGGGCAATGTATTCATGTTTTATAATTCGAACTACGAATAATTGTGAATATTTTCACTCCAAGCTTAATAGTATGTTTTAATCAGCACACCTGAATATATTCCAATTTATAGATGCTTTAAAAAATGTTCATAAAGAAACTTATATATAATATCAAAGTATTCATGTAACTAAAAACAGATGGATGATGGAATGTGAAAAAGAAGATTATTTTAGGCTATATATGACAAAATATAAAATTGGGGAATTAATCCGTCTTGATTTCAAATAAGTTTTTACCAGTTTTTTTTAATATTATATTTATATTTTTTTAATTTTAATTATTATATTATATTCCTATAATTTAAACCTAAAAATTTTAATTTTACTCATTTCTAATAGCATACCAACGATAAAAATAAATATATTTAACCTACTGATGGTCATAATTATTAGGGTAACCATACATTCGTTTAAAATGGGATTGTGCCTTTTATATCATTGTGTCCCGTTGTCCCAACAAACTTTGAACGGGACGCATTTTGTATTGTTTTTAGAATAGGATCCGGTTTTAACTCTTTTACTTTTATAAAAATTGTAAACCGAGAGTAAAAGAAAAAAAAATAAGAAATATAATATAGTATATATATATATATATATATATGTACTACGAACTCATTTGCGAGACTTCTGACGAAATCGATATTAAATACGAATAGCTAACTAATATACAGTACTATTTATAATCAACGATACTCTACCGAGTAATGGGTATATTAGGTATATTAATCGAAAAATCGAATATACTCGTGTATTAACATGTGTACATTGCCACGATCTTTGTTATTAATGTTATAGTCACTGTGTATTAATTATTTCTATTTAAATTGTTGTGAGTCGTTAATGTTATTACTTTTATTGTTTTTTTTAAATGCCTAAAAGGAAATATACGTTCACTGAACCTTTGCTGTTCCTTTGAAGATTAACTAACGCAGTAATAGAAATACATTTTTAATCACAAATACTTTATGGACAAACGAAAAAACTTGTTTTCTCGTACCAACTGTCAAAGCAATAACAATTTGTAAAATAAATTTTAAAAAAATTACTGTAATGATTTTTATGATTTTTTGTTAACACAACCAAAAATATTAATACCATCAGTTCATCAAAAAAATATAATATCAAAAGATGTAACGAAGAAAATTATGAACAATCGACATCAACTCAATAAAAATAAAAAATATTTTAAGTAATTTTTTTCAGTTTCATAGCAAAAAATGAATGCAAAACGATGTTTTATTATAATATTAAACTAATTAATAATTATTTTTATTGAATATAATATAGAAGTTATTTTTTAAAAACGTGTTCTTTTTTTTTTTAGAGAACATATTTGTTTAATTTTTTTTTTCCGTAAATATGGTCACCCTATCATAATGTTATCGACAGTTGTAAGTCTGTGTGAAAAAGGAAGAAAAATATTGTTTTTACGTTGAGATGCAATTCGTGTTTTCATTAAACCTTGTCAGGACACAATTCGTGTAGTCGTTAATATGGTTCAGAAGAATTCATGCGAAAAATGTATTTCAGGACGCAATTCATGTGCAGCGTAATACCTATTTAATATATAAAAAATATTTTTTAAACAATCTTATTTAAATTTTATTTAATAGACAATATTTTATCTTGCCAGATAACAATAAAAATAAACCTGCCAACGACGGGTAATTCAACTAGTTTATTTATAACATAAAGAACTACTAATCTTCATCGTGTGAACTTTATAAGTTTTGACATGAAATATTAAAATGGCGCAAGGGATTTATATGCCTGTCCTACGATTTTTATTATAATATAATGCCCAGAGTTTTGTTAATATTATAATTTAGACTATTCTGAATGATGAAAGTGTTATAGGTTGAAAGTCGAATATAGAATATTTATTAATTTTGTAATAAAGAATACAAATAAAACATTTTAGTACTTTTTTAGGTGATCGTATGATGAAAACGATGAAAATAAGAAACGTACATGAATGCAATCGTTTTAATTTCCCATTAAAATATAGGTTGTTTTTGGTTAAACAAATTTTGAATCAGAATAATATTAATTTTTTCTATGACATTACACAGTCGCTTACAAATTCAAAACAATTGGAATGGTAGATAATATACAAAAGTTAATTATAAGATTATACATTTTTCGATTATTATAATACTATAAAAAAAAAAAAAATGCAGCGTTGTTTAAGCTTTTCCCATAACATGTTATGCGTGTGAAACATTGTTCTTTCTTCAATGTTATATTTTTCATTGCCAACTAATTTTCACACCACACCACGTACTAGTATACGGAGTGACTTTTGGCAAAAGTCATGAATATTTTACTATTCTCAAGTATTAAGAATAATAGTAAAAGTGCGTGTTACTTCAACGTAATCACCGTTGTTCCTGAACTCAAAACAGATTTTGTTCTTTTAGTTATTTCGTTCGTAATGACCATTCGGAATGCGTGAGTTTTAAAATCAAAAGCGTTTTATAAAAAAAGGTATTAAGTAATTATAGTAAGTGATGATATAATATATATCAGTTATATTATAACTGGTTGAATTGTTAATAACGGATGGAAAAAAAAAAGCATAAACGTGTCCTAGGTCTGCGTCAGTGGTGGATTTAACGGGAAAAAAATGGACATTTGCCGCCTGGGCCCCTACCCGTAAAGACCCTCGGGCCACAGACCCAGTCTTCAATTCACTAATTTTCATTTCAACGAAAAAATTAAAATTGAACAGAAATGGACCACAATTTTGAATATTCTTTTCGATACTGTAAAAACGTTGTCCGGTTTAAGCGTGGTCACCGAGGGAATTTAAAAAATTATGAATATCCTGGAATTTACTTGACTATCATTAAATTGATTTCCCAT